AAGATCACTCACGTTGAAAGAGGATAAATTGTTTGGGTGCCATATATTGTAATATGAAGGGCAAATAAATCCTAATTTTATAATAGGGGAGCTCCTAATCAAGTAATTGCCAAAGTCCCGCTGCAAAAGATGATGTCCGAAGCGAGAAAAACGCTTCAAAGGTAGGAGGGCTCTAGGTAGCTCCGCCCATCCACGTGGGTGGTGTGAGGATAAAAAGTTCGAACCGGGCTTTACTGTATCCAGAGTTGTCAAGAGTCCGTAACTCATCATGATTCTCAGATTTTCAGCATTTCTGTCTATTCTAAAGGTCGCTTTCAAGCTCATTATGCTCAGACCACTCAAGTTGATGGGCGGAGCTTCCTGGGTCTTTTCTGTTTTTCTGGGTTCCTGGGTCTAGTTAGGGACCCTGCTATCAAACAGAATCAGAATTCCAAAGTGTTTGCTTCGTTGGATAAGGTAAGGAAGTTCCCCCTCCCCTAAGCTCTTCCCCACTTCCTCAAATTTTTTCTCGCCCTTTCAGCGCGCAAAATGAGGATACTCTTAGCACGAACGCGTAGCACAACGTGAAAGGTTATCCAAGCACATCTCGCGTCGCACATACCGTGACAATTTTCCCTCTACACTAAGATGTTATCGCACAAAATCGACGTAGCAAACACATGTATCCGCTCCTCGAACGAAAAGAAAACGCTTTTAGAACATTCGAAAAAAAGCGAAAATACGAGAAAAAGCACAAGAAAAAATAAGTGAGCAATGGTAGTACGGCGCGGCTTTTTAGAGCGGATTTTTGGCTCAGCATCAAAGTTTTTGACGCTAAGGTCCTAACAGATGTGAATCATCCAAGGGAATGTTCATCACTCGGTAAATATCGGGTTGTCTGTGTGCCACAACAATTTGTACGGCTACGATAAGAATACTCACGGCGCCGCGTTTGGCAGACGCTCCGCCAAGGGTAGAGACCCACTCAAATAGAATTCGCGATCTTTGGAATTCAATGCAGACGTAAGTAAATAATGCTTGTCCTCAATGCTGAGAGAATCAGAGCTTTGCAGTCCTCTATAAACAGCGGCCTCCAACTAATATTGCCCTTTTTATTAATTTTGAGTTTAAAAGAACAGTATTAAATACAAATTGCTGTCAATTCGTGCACTTCAATACGATAACAGCGTGTTTGTAAACAAAAAAGTGAAGACCTATCTGTTACAGTTTCGCTACTGAAGTTTTGATATACAAACAATCAGGACTTTTTGCTCACCTTGTGTTAGCTTGAAACAAAAACAATGGAGCCGAAAATTTTAGGAATTTGTTTTGGAGACGATTGAAAGCAGTTGCATTTTATTTTTTATCACACATTATAGATTATTCCAAACAAAATGAAGACAAAAATTGGAAGATAGCATCGACAGCAGTAAAAGTCCCAGACTTCAAGGAGTAAGTTGTGAAAGTTATACTGTTTTGACACCAGGGTTTATCGGTCTCGCAGCTTTTTTACGACTCCATATCAAAAAAATTTTAACCTCTTCAAACCCCGCAAAATTACTATAGCACCTTTTGCGTGGGACCACAAAAATCGCAATATTTTGATACAACGAACTAGACAGGATTTGCTGAAGCTCGAGGAGGTTGAGAGTTTTTAAAGTTTTAGAGCGATATAAAACGATCCAGTGTACTGGGTGATATCTTACAGACTTTCACTGTAAAGCGGAAACACGATAAAGAAACACATAGGGAGCTTTCGTAAAGAAATGTACAATGATGAATATCAATAAGAGTGACTTGCGAAATAGACAAATAAGAAATAAAACATAAGTTTTATGAGCAGTTCTCTCGATCTTACTCAACGATTGCGAAAACTTTTGTCCAGAAAAATGCATATTGCTGCTCAGGCACAGCTCTTCAAAATTTGCTGTGTTGGAATTACTAAATTGATGATGCAACAAAAGCGTCACAACAAAGGTCAAAAACAGAAAACAAGCGTTATACTCAACAACGAAAAGAATCGTGATAGGAAACTGTTCAAAAACATATTTTTTGTTCCGACTTATGCAAATTTATACACTTTTTCATAGATGGACATACAAATAGCGATTCCGTATCAACGACAGACGAAGTACTAGAGACTGAAAAATTGGTTCAACTATTGATTATTTGTTTATAAATAAGTAACATAAGCAACACAAAGAAAAATGAAAGCAAAGCAGTTGCAACTGATCATCTCCTTAGCCCGGAAAAATTTACTTGCTTCGGAAGTACGAATCGGCTACTAGGGAAGGTGTGAAATTCTATAGCTTGCAAAAAAACACTGGTGGCTACTTGGAGACGGCTGTAACAACTTTGCTGGAGGTACAGATATCACTAAAGCAGAATAATTTTCAGAAATTTTTCCGTGGATGATTTCCATAATTTCCAAATTATCAACAAAAGAATCCAAATGTGCGAATTCTACAGAACATGAATACAGACGCATGCAAAAATTGGCAAAGGCAATGCGAAAGAGAATATGCATAAAATTTAGTAGTTTCGAAGAAAAAACACCTAAGATGGGTTAGGGTAAGCTTGAGTTCAGCTCTTTGCTACGTTCTCTGCGCGACGGCTGTCACTCGACCAGGTTGATGTTTGCGTAAGAGAGAGCAGCATATCGAATAGTAGCCCGAACCCAAACGTTGTCGAGTAGAGGGTGGTGGCTGGCGGCAGCGGCGACCCGGCGGAACACGGGGCCCCGTGCTCTCGTGAAACTCGAATAATAGGATTATAAGCGATGACCGCGACGAGAAGAAGCATAACATAGCATAGCGGTGGCGGTAACAGTCGAAGTTGTGCGGAAGTTCC